TTAACTATTGTTTCTTCAACCTTTCATTAGTTTAATGTGAATTCCTAAACTTAGACTCAAAATAGAGAAAACAGTTTTGTCGATCAGTTGTATACTAATATGGACTAGATAACTCGTACATCTAATAGTAACTTCAATTAACCACCTATTATCAAACGTTTCTTGCCTCTTAATGCTCTATATCTTTATATCAACAATCCCTTATCTGATAAAAAATCCTTTTCAAAGTGGAGCAACTAGTATTACCCTAATTATATATATAAGATGTAATGAAACATAATTCGAATGAATTCGCTAAAACAAATTACACATCTTACATGTTAATGATTAATCTGCTAGAGATAGTTGACCACTATGAAATAATAGAGGTTGACAAATTCGTATATAATACTTTATATTCCCAGTGAACTATACATTCTTTAAAGATTAAGTTATTATCAGTAAACAGAAAATACAAACTAGTTAAATATTGTCATGACGACTACAGTAGTAGTATTCTTGTCTAGTTCCGTAAAAAGCATGCGATTTTATCAGAATTCGAATTTATATCTTGAGCATTAAGAATATGCATAACTATGCTTTATAAAATGTCGAATAAACGTAACATAATCTGATCATTTGTTATTAGTAATAAAATTAGAGTGGAATAAAACAGAAAAAGGAAGGTTCACTTCCTGGAAAGTTAAAAACGAATCCCCAAATTAATCATTTTTATCAAATATTACATTGTTGATTTCGAAATACCTAATTAAGTTACATTCATTTGTCTAAAATGTTGTTTGAAAGTAAAGCTTTTAAAATGCTTTCCTAATATGGATTAGTGTCTTTTGAAGGATCGAAGTAAAACCTCAGATAAATAGAAAGACGTTATTCTGTCTATTTTATTAAGTAGCTTGCAACATATGTTTAGCTTGCTCATTAATTTTCCCCTTAAACTAATATGGATAAGAATCATTCTGACAGTTATTTCTCAAGGTGAACTTCCTATAACGTGACGAATTCATAGCTTATCAGTCAAAGAAGCTATGGACTTATCTACTGGATGTTACTTTGCACTAAATTTTAGCATTTATAGCATTTCTTATTGACTGACATTGAGTAGTAGGTGTTTTTACCTATTATAATGAAGTTCCACAGGGTAATTTTCCTTCCATTTTAGAGACATTATTTCATATCTAAGTAAACAGATTCAAGAAATGGTATGAGACGTAAGTCACAATCTCATCTCTATATTGCAGACATAAATAACTAGATACTTTAATAAACTTTAAACTCATTAAATATTGATCATTATAGTTACCGTGACTGAGATTAAGAAAAATGTGGTAACTATGGTACCGAAAGGGTAAATAATTCTAATACTTTTGTAATTGAATAGGAAGACAGGTGATTTATATTACATTAAACTAAGTTCTTATTTATTTTCATATTAGATATAAGCTCTACTGTCGATTTATTTGAGACAACACTGAAAATGTCACTGCAATGTTAGAATATTATCAAATAGCTAATGAACATTCAAAACCCTTTCTGGTACTATACGTAATATATGCAAGTATATCACGAAAAATAACGAAACTATTTTAAAGAATAGTTCGTGTTTTAATGTAACTGTATTTCATGTTCAATATTAAGGGTAATGTGAGCATACGCAGTGTATTTCCCTTACATGTGTTCTAGAATTGTGATAAAAGTAACAATTTCCTATTGAATCAGTGGTCAGAGATTACGTTTACCTACTTAGATTAAAAGCATTTAAGCTTAAAATTTACGAGACATCATAAAGTATCTTTAGGATCCGAATGTTCAAACTTATGACTAAAGTATTTAGACGATGAGTTCCAAGCAGACAAGAAAGGTAAATACCTCTGTTTAAAGGTAAAAACCTTGTTTGTTTTTTTATTGATATATACACTGGTGAAAACCTGTGTTTAATGTAACCATTATCTCCATAAATACACTGGTAAAAACTTAATTCGTCTCTGTCAAGTATGGAACCACCTTCGAAGTAATTAGTATACCGGACTATTTATTTTATTTGGACAATCGACATATACTACAAAACAAAGTATGCAAAACTAGGAGTGTACATAAACTGCATCACCAAAGTTAGACAATAATTTCAGATAAATTGGACAGAATAATAATAATAATAATAATAATAATAATAATAATAATGACATATTTCTGATATTCCAATGACTAAAAGCTAGAATTTTTAACGTCCTTTGACCTAGTGTAAGCCACTTCTTCAGAGTAGAGAAACTAATAACCCAACCCATTCAGCACAAGTTTAAATATTAAACAATCTAAACTTATTGAGACATTACAAACATCATTATTTTATTATTAGGAGTGCACGTATTCATCAACAAAAAATAATCCCACTTTGATATAAGACTCTCTTTAACAGTAAGTTGTTTTAATTCATCAGTTCTGAAAACAAATTTAAATACTCGTAAGTCAAATTTTAAACAATTTTTTGGTTTAATTACTGTAAATACTATCTGTTCCAAGTACGTGTCTTGTTGACTTGATTGTTTGAGAGTAAACATTTTAATTGATGCCAAAAGACCTTATCTAGCTGGTAACCTAATATATAATTTGTGCCAACCTAATAAATTCTCAATTAATTATCCATAAAATTGTATCCCTAACATAACTTTACATCCGGTAATACAAATAAGCACGTATGCTAATTCGTTTGGTCTTGTTGCTAAAGTCACAACATATTAATCATCTGAAATTCATTGAACTTGGTCTCTCAGTTCCTGTTCTTGATATAAATTAATTGTGAAATGAATCAGTAGTATAAAGCATGGTAATGAATTGAAATTACAGCAATCCAGTTCTGGTAAAAATTCAGTTCCAGATATGGGTGTGTCACACACCAATCTTCATTTGTTAATATTGTTATTAATTGTGAAGTAGACAGGTATTTGTATACTTGTTATTTAACATGTTCACCACAGTCCATTTCCTTGCTTATTTACTCTGTGTACATCTGGTATTTTTATTGGTTTTCACTTGTATGACTTCTTCATGTTTTTGTGATCTTATTAGTTTGATGTAAAAATGTTGTTGAGTAGTAATTAAAGTCGTATGGTCTTGGGCTTATTTTGCTAGACTTAACGCCAATTTTAGGTTTCAATGTACATGATTCTGAGTGACTAGTTTCTTCCGGTTTTCTGCTTAATAGGTTGTTGTTCAGATGGTCCAAAACCTCATTTTCTGATAGAATATGTAGTGGCAGCACCAACTTATGTCGTACATTAGGTACAGTAGGATAGTTCATTGATAATTATAACTTGTAGACCTCAGAAGCAAATTAATTACATCCATAGTAAACTATTTTTATGGAGTAACTATCATATGATGATTCTATTGCGGAAATTTTTAGAGATAATGATAAATAATAAGTAAGCAACTATATATCTTCAACTGACAGTAATCAGTAATTTAAACAGGACTGAGAGCTAGGTAGAAACTACATTTTCTTAACACTCATTTGGTCGCTGTGATGATGATAAGACTATCGATCCCTTTAATCTGTTGGTCTTCATCGATACGTTTTATGTCTAAAGTGTGAGGAGCATAGTTCTAAACTTCAATTGCCCGTCTGATAAATGAGGCAGTATAATATTACTCCCAACAATCAAGTTCGAAACCACATCATTTGTTCTCATGATGGATTACATGATTTATCTTCTTATTTTATTTTCCCTAATATATCAGGATGAAGAGAATATTCTATAAACTAAACTATAGTTCCTCAATAGTAGTAGTATTATTAATGAGAAATTCTTACATCTCTTACAAGTACTCTTCTGAGTAAGGTGATTCATTGGTAGTTAATAAAATAATTACCAATGTCATAAAGTTTTTGCTTCAGCTTACCCGACGTATTGTTCGTTTTCTCAACAAAAGTGGTTATAATTGCACAATAAATGCCGTTCATATAAATGTACCCCCCCCAGCAGTACGAGCAATTGAATAATGTGCCTACAAACATTTAGGTTTCTATGAAATAATTCACCACAGAAAGCCAAAACAGAATGATCGCTTGAAAATGACCAACCAACCAAATTGAAATAGTTAACAATATTCAAAACCTTCAGACAACATTTTCACTAAATATTTGGACAACTTTGTTTACACCATGATACTATGAGATCAATATTAACCTATATAATAAGTGTCGCTCATTAATTTTACCATACAAATTTCATAGCAACAGAAATTTTAGCTATGAATGTGTAAAGTTTCCATTTCGATCCCAGAATCCTCTATGAGAGAACAAGACTTCTTAAACTAAGATCATTCGTCCTCTTTATTTTAAAATCATTAATTTCTCTTGAAATAATAGTTTTTTTTTCATGAAAAAAAGAAGTAACTTGCCACCATAATATTAATAACCATTGTGTACTATAGAAATTGACGGTTTAATAAGTTTCCTGATTTTTAATCTCTTACTGTGATAAAAACTTGAAACCCATCAGTGTTGAATACAGAAACTGGATTTCTTCCAGGCTATAATCGAGTAATCTTGCGTGGTTGAAAATCAGTCTCATTAGCTAAGTGATTTTGTGGATATATAAATGCGATATACAACCAAATCCTTCCTTGGACCAAGAGACTTGAAGCAATTTAAAGTAAATCTGAAATATAAACAATTTTTCGTTTGATTCATAGTAGGTCGACAGATTTTGTAGAGTCATTATAAATGCGTGTTTCACTTCTTACAATTTTTCTCCACCAAAGTGCAAAGTAATTCTATTTTCTTTTCAGTTCCAGATTGACAGTGTAAAACATAACAGAAATCGCCAAGAAGTAACATCGTTCTGGAAAACACTAATTACCAAGTGGATAGGGTTTAGAGTCAGAATTATTCTATTTCTTCACTTATTTCTGCCTAACTTGAACTTCAGTAATGAATTTTTTTGAATATCTTCAATATAAATGCTATTACTGTTCAGTCTGTATGGCTTTCGTACATAGTCCTGTTTCATAAATGTCAACAGGGTTTTCTGAGAATCCAATTAGTGATAATGACATTGTAGAATCTAGTCATTCACCTATTGAAGAGACTGATTTCACTCAGCAGTCAACATCACCACCATTAGGAGACAAAACAACACAACAATCAACTCCCCCTCATTCATCATCGCCAATACTACAACCAACAGCAACAATACTAACTGACACACAAGCAGAAATTCAAAAACCGGAAGAAACCCAACCTATTCAACCAGAATTTACTGAGATAATAACAGACAGAAATAAATTAGAGCATTGTGTTGAATTAGACTCCTCAACTAATTTTGTGTCAAAAGAATCCAGTCTAGATAGAGAAAACTGTGATAACAATATGACGAATCAAGATGACAGAGGAAATATATCACCTAACTGGATACCTGAGCAACACTATAATGTTTATACATGTTCTACTACGACGCCAAGTTCACAAACGGTTTTACGGCTGAAGCAATATTATACGAGTTTAGAAGAGTCAACAAAGCCATGTGAAACTAAACTTACAGAAACGAACAATAATAATAGGAATAGTCGTAATGGAAGATCACTTCGCAAATTAAGACGCAATACATTCGACAGATCATCACACCGATCAAACTCAAAAAATAATGGAGAACAAGCTGATCACATCGAAAACTTCAGTTCATTTAAAGATGAAAAGGTAAATACATCTGTAGAAGAAATGCGTAAATTGTTTGAATCTGGTCGCTTTACCGATCATAATAAAAAACAAACGGTAGCTGAAACAGTAGTGACATCAAAAGAACAAAATGAGAAATCTAATGATTTAAATAGTTCCAAACCATTTAAAGTGGTCAAATCACTTCCTGAGAATACCGTAGAGTTTCATTCGCGTCCGCCAAAGTTTCGGACTCCTAGTCCTAAACCTTTTAATCTACCGACACCACCTCCACTACCTCTACCACCAGCTATTGAATCCGTCAACAAATCTTATGAGATTAATGGTGTTACTAACAATAATATAAGTAGTACAAATAAAGTAAGGAATAAAATGAAATGTAAAAATAAAAATTATTCATCCTGTTGGAGTCAACCTGCTAAGCCAATATTATCAATGAGTTTACCATTTCGCTCACGATCTTTGGCGATTGACAGGAAATCAGACCTAACTCATGGTAACAGAGGAGGTTCTTTATCTCGTTATCGTGCTTGCTCAATTACTCAGCGATCACTATCACCATTACCCAATACACTATCCTTTAAGGATGATCAGATTGATAAGGCAGGTAAAACGAATTTCTCAAAATCTTCAGATTTAAAATGTTCGAGATTAAATAATTTTACTGACACTAATACTAAGAATACAGAGTTCGGAAAACAGGAGTCTAATCACTCTACAGTCCATTGTAATGTCTGTAATGTCAAGCCTGATCAAATCGTTTGTATGAATCCTTCATCTACCGATGGTGTGTATGTTAGATCTGCTGTAGTCTATGAGCGTGTGAATGGAAAACCTCTTTCGAAGGAGCCCAAAAACTTCATTACGACGTATGTAGTATCTAAGTGGCCAAGTCCAAGTCAAGCAACTGTTCAGGCTACAAATTTATGGGTTGCAGAACAGTCTCTGCAACAATATGACCAGAGGTTGCCTACACCTTACAGAACACAAGCGTTGTCAAAACTCAATACTACAGCTCAATCTAGTGAGTCGAAAGAAATCCAGTTATATCATAGTAGTCCAGTCGATAATCTAGCCAAGCCGAAAAAAAATACTATACAGCAAAAAGATCGGAGTTTGGTAGTTCAGCCAAGAATTAAATTTGATCAGCATGATCATACACGTACATTCACTCATACTAGGAATAGATCTTTGTCTCCACAACCGTTACCCACTCCACCTTCAACTGAATTACACCCACATATATTACGTTGTACTAGTGGTCAGTGCAGTCCATCCCATCAAAGTCGTATATCCCAATCTTTCGTGGATAAATCCAATAATCTAGATAAAGTGCAACGATCAACATATCACAGACCTTATTTAAGTCGTTCGTGGTCAGTAAAATCACTATCCCCACCACCACCTTTCCGAAGTCAGTGGCTTAGTTCTATGAGTGCATCAAGAAGCAGACAGAAAATATTTGATAAATTTCACAGTTTAACACGTGATATGCATCCCAGAATCAATGCAGAATCATTTTGTAAACATCATAGAGGTCGGGAACCAAACCGAATAATAAACTGCACCAAACACAGAAGTTGTATTGAGTCATACCGCAGGGAAAGCGCAAGACGTTTACGAAACCATGAAAAGAGGGATTGGGTAAAACGAGCAGAAGAAATCAGTGATGATAGACAAAAATACCATGAACTTAGAGGAAGTTGGTCGCCACCAGTTATGCGAAGTCCACCAAGTGCAACACCAAATAATATGGAGGAACGTACGGAGAAGGAAATTCAGCGATACATAAGACAGCATTCCCCCCCAGCTCGGTCCCCTCGTGTCTCAATTCCTAGGTATTCATCTTATTATCCACAAGAATATGTCAAATCGTTAGATAAAGGCATACAGTGTGACAGTGTTGAAGCAGGAGGATGTGCGTATCAAGCAATTGATAAGTATGCTGATGACTGCATAGACACTACCCCAATCGCAGAAGATTTTGATAAAAAATGTGCATATTTTGAAGAGTTGATCAAAATAAATAGAAATTTAGCTCAGTGTTCATTTTGTTCTGACTGTTATCACTGTTCACCTGGCCAAACACCAAAGCTTAGCGCCTATTCAAGCTGGGACTCTGAAATCAATAATTTAAACAGTCAGAACAATTTAGTCACAAAACGAGATTTCTACTCTAAAGACCAGCCAAGTCACTACCAATACAATCGTCACCAACAAGAGAATCACTACGGAAAACATCATCAACGACATATTAGCCATTTTCAAAAGCCTAACAAAAATTCAGCTTATAATTGTCACGAGTACAATCATAATCCTTATCCTGGTACAAAACACCATTATAACATTTACGGTACCAATAATAATAATCACCACTTTGCTCTGGGTGAACCTCAACAGTATGCTTCCAATACATATTTACCTTTCGAAAATCCGGCCTTTGTAGAGCATGATACAAATTATTCCCATTTAGATAAAACTTCAATGAACCAGCCCACCGTTAATTCAATAAAACATGACTATTACGCAAAGGCTATTAACGCTATGCCTAAAGTTGCCCCAAACCCACCTACGTACAGTAATAATAATGATAATAGTAACTTTTACAACTATCAAGAACCCTATGAATCATTTGTCAGATATCGAAATATTTCTCCGTTACGTATAGAACTAGAAGATTCACCAAACCCCATTTCACCATATAGTAATCAGTTTACGACTCAGCGCCCCTACAAAATTCGGAAAACAATTCACTCACCACCGTGCAGATTTGCCAATTATACAGCAAATGAAAATTACAACTTATCAAATTACCAAGAACACGAAAAACAACGAGGTGAATCTTTAGAAAGTTTACATTGTGAACAGAATGATTATATAGACGATCAGCCAAAATTTTATGGCAGGGTAAAACAAATTGTTCAAGCACTTGATAAACAAGCTGTAGAGTACAATTCACGTATTGATTCAGTTGAGTCAATAACTAGTCCTGATAGACATCAACCATTAAGACGCAGTCACAGTGATCGTTTCTCTTATTTTATGCCAAGAACATCATGGTAACGTAAAAAAAACTGGAATAATTTGTTTTATTATCAGAAAGTAGAATAACGCTAATTATCAAGAATGTTTCATTGAATGAATTAACCTCAAATAAGAACATACATTTTCCTCCGTATACGTTATTGTTATTCTTATTTAATCTTGAATATTTTCTAACTTAATATTATTTAAGAATGACAAAGCTAAATAATAATAATAATTCAGGAATTCTCTAACTGTTAACATTAATTTTATGTTGATTGTTTAGTGTTTACTATTTAATATTTTTTATTAGTTTTAATTAATCAATAATTGGAAAGTTATTCAGTGATATTTTGTTCTATAACTGAGAATAATCTAATTGATACCTAAAAGGAAATAGTTTATTAGCAACTAATAATCATTAAGCTATGGAGAAAGCGTTGATCATTTTAATATGCATTTAATAATTATTAATTATGTTGACTAATTTTCTTTATTCATTTTCTTTGGTGTTGCTTTACTGATAAAAGTCTTTCTAGTTATTGACTTTGTTTTTCTTAAAACAAAAAGAAGGAAGAAGAAGAAGTAAAACTTTCATAGAAAATTGAGAACCGTAATTTTATTTGAGAATCAAAAACATAGATGTGGAACTATGCATGAAACTGTTATCTCAGCATCCAAAACTAACTACTAACTATTAACTTAGATACATGATATATTCCAGCAGTTATGAGTCTTTTTCTTTCGTACATGTAAACTAAAATATCTGTATTTAGTAAAGACTTAGTGTACCTGCTTAAGCCTAAAATCACTTGTAGGTATTATATCGTTTAAAGAGTAGATTCAATACCAGCACCTGGTCTCTATTCACTATCATGTTAAGAATAGTGATTAGTTAAATACAATCATAGAATATTTTCATCTGTAAGAGCATCTTTCCGAACCAATATGTTATGACACATTAACAAATTACGAAGAAATATTTGTAAATTCAACAAAAAATCAAATAAAAATGACTTAAAATACAAGTTTACCAAATATTCAATGTATATTTAACTCACGTCTTTCTACTTTAAATTGTCTTTTATGGTAGGCTTCATCAGTTTTTCCTAGACTACCATAACAGAAATATACTGCATTTTTCCCTAGTTAACTTTAAAATAGCTAAGTATGAATAAATAGTTATTCATTATTTTTAACAACTGAAATATGTGCAATGTGCTTTCCAGGCAGTTTTCAAGAGATCTAAGAATTCATATTTTTGAAAATCTCAAGTAGAACGTTCTCAGACAACCTCATCGTTTTCTATTTTCAATGGTTTGCTACAATTTATAGTATAATGCTCAATTCCTTTCGTCTGGTAAGCTTAAGCATCTGGATTTTAGTGTTGGCAATAAGCTCATTATGGCATTGTTAATTACTATGAAATGCTTCTTTACCAGATTTATGTAAATGATCTATATCATTTACAAAACCCACAATATTTATGTCAATTGTGGAGAATATCAGTTCTGGTTTATTAGTTTATTCGAAATTAGATTTTGAATGTGAATGTGTAGACCAGGCAGTAAATTAACCTTATAACATCGCTTTAATAGCATGAATCTAAACAGTCTATCTCTCTGCAGAATATTACAAAGACATTAGTAGATTGTATTTGAGGATAAAATTTAAATCCAGTTCACAATTTCTAGTTTCTGCATAAGTATATGTATACAAACTGAATTATAACGAATACAGTCTTCCAAGCTAACAATATTAATAAACATGGTGAATCAGTTTTATTGATGACATAAAGTAGTTTGTAATTCTCTAACAAAATCCAAAATCCTTTCATATATCTGTGATCAAACCAATACTCTTGATAGACATCATCCAACAAATCCTGTCCACCTCTTTTAAGATAAATCTGTTAACTGGTATAATGCTTTAAAGACTATAGTACACTGCACTTTACCAAGTGGCATAAAAGTCAAAAACTGTTATCCACAGTATGATAAAAATGAGCAAACCCATCATGTTATAGACATAATATTGTTATTTATCACTACGTCAAAGAATACGAACAACTGAACTAATTTTGCTAAGTGATGATAACACACCGAATTTGTCAATTTTAGTAAATTCTAAACGGTTGTATTTGTTATGTTCATTGTGAATTTCTCAGGCTCTATCACTTTTATTCTCAATGAGATAGTTTTCCTTGACAATTTTATTTTTATACAAATCCATAAACAATCATTTAAAGTTTGAGGAGGGCGTTTGTTTTTTAATGCTTTGTTAATCAACATCCACCTTCAAATGTTTATACTCGACAAAACAAAGCTGTTGCAACGACTACACTATTTTTTTTTAATTTAGACTAAAGCTAACAAATTCACTGTCGATCATCGTAAAGAAATAGATAATCTTAAACGATGATTACTCACAAAACTGGAAAAATATATTTACATTACCTAATTGGATTGTAGCTTTAGAAATAAGTAAATACTGAAATACAGGAAACACCTTACTAGTTCGAGATTTCCCGTCAAAAATGAAACGGAATATTAGCTTTACCATAGAAAATTAAAAGTTCTAATTTTGCACTGTTTGGCGTTCCATAAAATATGTTATCGAGAGCTTATAGCTAACACATAAGCTGCCTTGATTTCGAGTACTATATCATACCCACATGAGTTATTCTAGATTTCGGACATACCGATTAAATTATTACTCCTGAGACAATGTCCACATACATATTGGCAAGGTCAAAATGTATTTAGCTTATTTTTGTCTGACTATAAATGATGCTTTATCAAATTGTGTTAGTATGCTTGTTATCTCCATTTCACTTTCCAGATTCTGGTCTCCATGTCCGTCTGTTAAAATGAGTGCATGAAATAAACTCATCAAACTTAATCCGTATTCGTCGTCGCTCAAATAAAGTTAGCACAGTTGTAGTATACGGAACCGAACTACTGATTTACATTCATGGAGTATTCAATCGTTCATCTAAATCAGAGCTACATCAACGGGCCACTAAAATACAACAAAATTATTCCTATTTTAATTACCTCAAACTATCAGTAAGGTAATTACTTTGACATGGATATTACTCTAATTGATCCGAATCCTGCTTAGTGACTTAAAAGTTGTTTGTTAGTATACGGCAACAAACATGCTGCGTTAGTTTTAGTTATTAACTTTTGTTTAGAAAAGACCGACTATCTTCGACATCAAAAAAAATATTTGACGGAGTATTTTCAATTGATGAACATATAGTTAGTGATAAAATGAAGCAATACATTCAACATAATACTACTTGCATCACATTATCAACTATCCATATAACATATATTGTATCACAAAATATGAAGACAGTTAAGTTGAAAAATCTGAATAAATACTAATGATACAACAACGAGAGTGAAACATTATTTAAAAGTGAAATATAATGGTCTGAATAGTTGAACTAACACCCAAAAATTAGTTATTTTACCCTTGAGAGTTCTCATGCTCTTATCTCCAAATTATAATAAACCAGAGGAAATAATGATCTAAGTGCTAGTTCATATAATGTACTGCATAAATTCTGAGAATTCCAAAAGTATTAGATATGACAACATTGAACCAGAGATTGATTGTTTCATAACCAAAGGTCTAGGCTATTCAAAATCAGTCTTTTCTTATTTATTAACTGTATGTTAAAATAATGTGTAATGGTAGCAGTAATATTTTAGTTGACCCCCAGTGATGCAGAGCTTTCAGTACCATTTTGATCTTTTCCATTGTGAACTGAGAATGTAAAGTTGGTAATCTTATATGAGAATTTTGATTACCTGGAAATATTTTCAGACATTATCAATAATTTTAGTAGTTAAATTCCATTAGATGAATTAAATGATTTACCCAAATCTGTACACATTTAACTTATGAAGTTCAGTGATCCTAAAGTAAGGAGTTTGTAATGATCCGGCATTTCATTAAACTGGTATCAAAAACGAAATAAATTTATTTTTGCAGTAGATATGAACAGAATAGTGAGAATTCAAGCAAATAACCAAAGAAGAAGGTAATGACTGAAAAATCTACCATGTACACTTGTGACTTAATTATAGTTAACAAATACAGTAGTGTTATATAAATCATCCAACAACTAGGAATAAAAGTTTGTAGTTTATCCATTTTACAATAACAGAATAGTAATTGTTGAATTTTATATTATAGAAAATGAAGTAAGACAGTGTTGATAAAGTCATATATGATTGAGATCATGAACCGATTGATGTTAGACCACTATTTAAAACCTGGAAGCACTGGACGGCCTTTTCGTCCTATTGCGGGACTCATCAGCAGCCCCGACCCCGTTTGAGGGATTCGAACCCATAGCCTTCAGTCTCGCGCGCAGATGCTTAATCTAAGTAATCCCACAATAGAACAAAACGGCCATCGAGTGCTTCCAGGTTTTCAGAGGTGGTCCAACATCAATAGGTTCATGGTCTCAATCAAGAACTTAATAATCTTCACAACCCTATACTGATAAAAAGTCATATTTATCAAGGGAAAAGACAGATATCCAAAGAAATTAGCAACAATTGTTGCAGATAAAGTTACCAATTAAACAAAATTTGAAGAAGTTAAAATCAAAGAACATAAAGAAACGATATAATCTACTTACTGATCAAGAATATTCATCGGAAGATTATTTTCACTCATGATGGTTTATAACTGTCAACAACTAGAGTATTATTGAAAGCTCTTCTCGAATACTATCATTTCAGTAAATTGGTTCATCTTTTAGCTAATAATGACTAGGGGTTTTGTTTAATACTGTCATATCTAATAAGATGTTCAAGAGCAATATCAACTTTCGCATCGAAACAATTTTATATCATAAGTCATCACGATTTGTTGTGCAAACTCAAAACGAATTTCACAATTCATTTTGATTAATTTAAGGTTATATCATAAGTGAAGTTCCAACTTAAGCTTTTAATATATTAAATCATTGTCTAACGAAGTCATTTACTGAAGCAACACAAAACTATAAATAATCGCTTTTCCAAATAGAATTATTATTTGTTTTAGACACATTATCTTATTCATTTATTCCCCTTTGGTATGTCTACTACTTGAGTCCGTCTACCTTCAGCTGACGTTGATGATAAATTTAGGGTCAACAAGTAAAAGACCCTTGAAGTAATGTTTCTCAAAATATATCTTTTCATTTCCACTTGTTCCGTAAACATTCTCAGTCTTAAAG